ATATAGTGTAAAGTAGGAAAGTTTTAGGAGATTGGTTGAAGTATGTTGAGAAGTATGAGCTTAAATATGGATGAGGGACTCTCATTTCAGGAGATAGGGGGCCAAAATTTGAGGAATATGTTGGAGTTGCCCTCCCAATCTTGTGCATCCTTTAAAGGGAATAGGCTTTGGCTTATCATCCCAACAAATTGAATCTCAGCATTGACAATTCAAAGGCTAATGTCACATAACACCAAGCACTAAAATTAATTATTTATCTAGCAACTCAAGCTTTTTCAGATTTTGAATTGTGGTAAAAGGAGCTCGTCAAAAAACAATGGATCAAAGGATTGTCCTCTTAAACATATGCCTTGTTCGCTTGACTTATAAGCCGTATTTTTTAGCCAACGAACGGTATTTTTCTCTCATAACAAAACAGCTAACAGTCCTTTCAGCCATGGCTTATCAGCCAAGCGAATAGGGTAATAACCTGCAACAACAGTGCTACTGTGTGGCACTACCTTGGAACGTTCATGTATAACTTCATGTATCTTCTTCCTTTTCCGTTCATGTATAACTTCATGTAGGATTACCACCCTATCCAGGATATATCTCCCTTTGATAAGTGCTGTTTGGCACTTATCTATCAGTTTGTCAGCAAAAGGTGTTAGTCTGTCCATCGTCAGTTTTGAAATTTTTTGAAGCTCACATTCAGTAAGCAGATGGGCCTAAACTGCTTAACATTTACAGCATCCTGGACTCTTGGAATTAGTGTGATTATCCCATAGTTTAGTCTCCACTGGCCATTGAAAAAATCATAGGCCATCTCCATTTCACCATCTCCCAACATGATCCGTAGAATGTTACCCCGAATCCATCTGGCCCCAGGGCATGCAATACTCACTCTCAATACAAAGTTTTATTTTATAGTTTCATAGACATTTAATTTAATGACTTATAGAGAGTTGATAATCGTGTCAATAGAGTTTCATCTTATTTCTTCTTCTTTTTCTTAAATACACAGCCATGTCATCAAAAATACCTATATAGCAACCTATTTAAAGAAAATAAAACTCTCAACTCTTGTCGAGACGGGCATTATATGGATCGCAAATCAAGTAATCGAGTGAACACTCACCAGACATGAAAGAGTTGTTTCCGTTCGGCCGCATCAACAGAAATAGATTTCGACTCACGCGAGTTGGTACGCGACAGGAGACTAGGGAGCGGCGAAGGGCAGTGGGCGGAGCCGGGGAGGCCGAGCTCATAGGCTGGGCTGCCTAGGCACGCCGCGCTGGCGCTCGTAGGTCGTTGTGATATGTTTGCAACTCCGCTGGCTGCTGACCTGCTGTCAGCAGAACTAGCCAAGCATGGAGAGGAGAGGCAGGCTGGTGACCTCGCTCCGGCCGGGGCTCCAGCTTTGGTTTCCATCAGCCGTCACGTGCCTCCGTCCTAAATTAACTATCGTTTTTTTTATTTCTGTACCATAAGTTTAACTATATTTATAAAAAATACATGTAACATTTATATTTTTAAATAAATTTATTATAAAAATAGATTTAATGATGTATTTAATGATATTAATTATGTATCATAAATATTAATATTTTCTATATAAAATTAATCAAAGTTATTTCTAACACATCCATGGATGGGAGGAGGCCCGAGTGATCCGAGGAGTTTGTACCATACTGCGTACTACCATCTGCATGGGAGGAGGATGTGAGCACTTCACAACCACCACTAGTGGTATTGGTAAAACTAGTAGTGGGCCCAAGTGTTGAACTCAGTTTCTGTTCGACGCTACTACAGTTGAGCACTAGTCGCACATCTCATGTGTTTATGTTAAGAGCTCAACTGAAGGACTACTGTTCCATTCTTCCCCTTCCTTGTTGATCCTAGTAGTTTTTAACTTGTCCCCGTTCAAAGACTCGTGACGAGATCGAGTACGAGACATGAGGAAATCAAGAGGCTGTTTTCGCATCTTGGCCGGCTGTGCTATCGCTGCTAAGTGCTGCAAAAACCACATGCTATACCACAATTCCCATGCTGACGAAGACAAACCAGTTCTCATCAGATTGGTGGACGTCCTAGGAACAGATAAACCAGCTCGTGGTGACCACATGTGTTCCGCCGATATTCCACGGTTCCGCGATCCAGTTCGTCGGCGTCGTTGTCACGGTGGCTGTGCGCATCGCATAGGCGACGGTGAGAGCGCGACACGCCTGGGCGGCTGGCTCCTCTTTTACCCCTGGAGAAAAACATGGCCACCGGATGTATGTCCGATGCCACTAAACTGCAGCTATTTGCTGCGCCAGCGAGACGTGACCGCCGCTTCCCCACCTCGCCAAAACGCCCAAACCCCCGAGGGCGCTGGAGCCAGAGCACCCCGCGCGCGCAGGTCCGCGGCGTGCGGGCGCGAGGGGGTGGGCCGGCAGAATCTGGGCGCGTTTTGTCGATGGCTCACGGGCATCCGCCGATGATGATCCCCCTGTGGCCCTGTCCCGTGATGCGACGGGGCCCGGCCCGGCCACCTGTTCATCCTGCCTTTTGCTGTCAGCAAGCTAATAACCCAGACAGATACACTAATTACTACCGGTAATCTTCTGGTAGGCTGGCAGCACGTAGCAGTGGTGGGGGATGGATCTCTGCCCAGAGTGCGAGCCCAGGCGGCCGTCACCGAGGGGGAAAAAGAGATCGAGATGCCGTCCGCGACGTCGACCCGACGGTGGCAACCGGGGAGTGGCGTGCGGACCGCGGAAAGCACCGTGCGCCAGTGGCAAGCAGGCAAATTGCAACCAAGCGTGTATCGCTTGGTTCTCTGGAAACGAACGCAATTAATATTAGTCTGTCAAAAGTTGCACGAGACGTATGAGATTCTCAATGCTCTTCCCCTCTATTCTATGTTGCAGTATGTTACAAGAGTACTCCCTCCCTACTCAAAAATAAAGTTGTTTTGGACAACGACACGTTCTCCAAAGTATAACTTTGACTTCTTATTTTTATAAAAAATATTTATCGAAAAGTGATATATATATATTTTTAGGAAAGTATTTTTCAAGACAAATCTATTCGTATGGTTTTCACAATTCCAAACTCAATAACTTAAAAGTTATTCATGATTTATATTCCCAATGTTTGACCCGAACCTTGTCCAAAACGACTTTATTTTTTAAGTACGGAGAGAATATATTTCTTGATACTCAGATTCTCTTGTTAGAGAAAGCTTAGGAGTACACGAGAGTCCTAAAAGTAAATAAGCCGTGGGACAAGAACTGCTTCATCGTCGGATCGATCTCGAAACTGAGCACAGATCAAGATTTAGCATATTGAAATATATAAACAGGCATACTTAGCATGTTTTTCTATGTGCAGAAATTGTCTTGTATGCACTGACATCATGCATGGAGTTTCTTTTATGCCGGGGGGCATCGTTCTTATGTTTGACTAAATGAACTAACGGACAAATCATACACAGGGGCACAGGGCTCATGTACGGTGTACCTTGGTGTGTACTTTGCCCCGGTTTTATGGAGGTTGAAACTGTTCTATATTTCTTTTCCGAGGGAACGTTGAGTGTTTGATATTGCTTTTTTTGAAAAAAGATGACAGTGTTTGACTTTATCTCGTGTGGTACTCCGTTGATTTGAAAGCACAGCAAAATACTTGCAACTACTCAAATACCAGCCTCTTCTTCTCTTTGTTCCTCATAAAAAAAGAAGAAAAGAAGAAAGAAAAGAACTAGTGGCAAGAGGATGGAATCACACGGAAACTTTCTCTACGGAGACCGTGTTTAGTCCTCCCTGCCACGCCAAGAAAAAACAGCCACTAGCACGGCTCCAGTGCCACTAATCACAAAACTAATCCGCGCACTAACCCCATCTCGTAAACTAATCCCCGGAAGCGATACGCGCCAAAGCTTTCACCGCCGGCGCCGAGACCCCGGGACCGGGAGTTTGTTCCGTCTCGCGCTGCCCTGTCCCTCCTCTCTCTCAAAATTCTCAGCGACCCCTGAAAAGAGGAGAGAGTTTTTGCGGGAGGAATCCAGCTGCGGCCTGCGGGTGAGTTAAAAAAAACAGCGCACTGGCCTTGGGAATTCCACGGCCTGGAATCTTCTGCCGTCTCGCCATCCCTCCCTTCCACGGCCTGTTGTGGGTGTCCCAGTCGCCTTTGATTCCTCCCCCCGTCTTCCCCGTCCTCTCCTCGGCCCCAGTCGGGGAGACGCCGCCGCGGCTTCCGTCTCCTGTTCCAATGATTTCTTAGGTGAGAATTGAGAGAGAGTTTGGAGGATGCCAGCTGGTTTGGTGGCTCGGCCAAGCCGGGCGGTGGTTCCACGCCGTTGCTCGCCGCCTGGTGCCGCCGGAGTTTCTGTGTTGAAGGCTGTGTTCGGAGTTTCTGTATTGAAGGCTGTGTTCTGTTCTGCTGATTGGAAAAACTGGTTTGGTGCAGATGTTGCCGCGTTGGTTCTAGGGACCGGGAGGTGGGTGCTGGTGTGAATTTGGCTTTCCTTTGATCCAATTGGTGCTTAATTTGAGCATGTGGAGGTTTCTTGGGATAAGGGGGTTGGTCTCCGTCGCAGGAGATTGATAGCTTGCAGGCTCATCGCCATTGGCGCCGAACTTGCCTGTTGTACGGTCTTTCCTGTGCCAAGGTTGAATTTGGCGGAGAAATTTGCTGCTGTGATGCCGGTTTAAGCGATTACCTTTGCTGACCTTTCCATCCAAAGGCTTGACCTTTTGGGTTCCGGAGCTGATTGGTGATCGACGGGTCTTGGAGTGCCGGTCTACCTGCGTTATCAACAGGACATTTCTTCTGCAGGAGAACAGTTGTCTCCTGTGCAGATAGCCAGATACTGCTTTGCTAGTATATAAATTGCTTCTTGTGTTTGAACAAAGATTCTGTTCAGCCAGAAGACAGTGCTCTTCTTTATATCCTGTCCGGAGCTCAATACAGTGCTCCAAATCCATATCGGCGTACTAGGAGTGGATAGGGATCTTTGCCTCGACTAGTGGAGCAAAGCCATGGATGTGCCTACGCCTCCCAACCGTGCTGGCTGCAACAGTAACATCAGCGACATCGGCAGCCCCATGCAATCTTTTGATGATCCCTTTGGTGTTGCTGCCATGACGAGCTTTGATGGATACTCGGAGCTCTGCAGCCCATCAGTTGCTGATCAAATATTCTCGCTGCTGAATGACCCCTCGGCTGTGCAACAGATGTTTGCCATGTGGCCATCCTTGGGATCATCTCCGCGTGCTTCTGCTGCGAGAGAAGACATGTCGTTTGACACCTATCCTGGACCCGTGGACGCGACAGCATCACATGCTCAAAGGATGAACTCAGCATCAGCATTGAATCCAACTGGAGTGGACAGAGGGCTAAAAGACTCAGATGGGCTTGTTCCAAATAATGGTTCACAGCAAGGGAGTAGCATCATTCCGAGGTCTGTTGGCAACATTCTTGCAAACAGGATGCTCATGGCACTATCTTTGTTCAGGAAGTCATTGAGCGATGGTGTTCTTGCCCAAGTCTGGATGCCTGTTGAGCACAATGGTCGTGTCGTGTTGAGTACATCCGAGCAGCCCTATTTACTTGACCAGGATCTTGCAGGTTACAGAGAAGTTTCTAGAAATTTCGTGTTTTCAGTTAAGGAGGAGCCTGGTCTGCACCTAGGGCTTCCAGGGAGGGTCTTCATATCCGGGGTGCCAGAGTGGACCTCAAGTGTTATGTATTACAGTAAGCCAGAGTATTTGAGAATGGAGCATGCTCTTATTCATGAAATACGAGGGTCACTTGCTATGCCAGTTTATGATCCCAGCAAGGGCTCTTGTTGCGCAGTTCTTGAACTTGTCACAAACAAGGAAAAACCTGATTTTGATGCAGAGATGGACATTGTTTGTGATGCCTTGCAGGCAAGTTCTAATTTGTTTTAGACTCGGGATATTTATTTAGTGACATCAATGCTTAATGTTAAGTTGAAGTACTCATAAGTAGTCCGAGCAGCTCTGATATTTTTATATAACATTTACTCTCGGCCTGAGTTTTGTTCATTTGTCACTACTCTTATTATTTTAACTTCATCCATCCCAAAATATATGGATTTCTGGTTTTGTCCTAAGTCAAACTATTCTAAGTTTGACCAAATTGTTAAAGAAGAGTATTAGCATTTACCACATCAAAGAAGTGACTGTGAAAATATATTTTATATTGGATATAATAATGCTTATTTGATATCGTAATTCGTAAATATTGTTGTTCTTTTCTATGGACTTGATCAAACTTAGGATAGTTTGACTTAGGATAAAAGCTGAAATCCTTATATTTTGGGACGGAGCGAGTATATAAGCAATCCATATATTTGATACTTATCCCATTGCTCTTCTGTAGGCTGTGAACTTGCAGACAACAACAGATCGCAGCAATCAGAAGGTGCCACTCTTCACTTCTAAAATGCTCTATGTGACATTTCTCTTGGTCTTGTACTTACTCTTTACCTACTCATGATCAATGCATGCATTGTCCTTTCATTTGCAGGTTTACTCTGAAAATCAGAAATCTTCTTTTACGGAGATTTTGGATGTTCTAAGAGCTATTTGTCATGCGCATATGCTTCCTTTGGCCCTTACATGGGTCCCTACATCAAATGGCATCACTGGTGGTTTTTGTGTTGGAAAGAATATCAGGGTTGATTCGCAACCAGGAAAAGCAGTACTTCGTATCCATGAATCAGCTTGTTATGTTAACGATGCAAAGATGCAGGGGTTTCTTCATGCATGTGCTGAACGTCATCTTGAGAAAGGGCAGGGTATTGCAGGCCGAGCCCTTAAATCCAATCTTCCATTCTTTTCGCCTGATATAAGAGAGTACAGTATCGAAGACTACCCGCTTGCACACCATGCTCGTAAGTTTGGTCTGCATGCTGCTGTAGCCATCCGGCTGAGGAGTACGTACACTGGTAACAATGACTACATACTAGAATTCTTTCTCCCAGTCAACTGCAAGGGCTGTGGAGAGCAGCAGATGTTATTAAACAACCTTTCCAGCACAATGCAAAGAATATGCAAAAGCTTGCAAACAGTTTCTGAAACAGAGATCGAAAATGTTAGTGCTACTGCACCAATGTGTGAGAAGACTAATGGAAGTTGTTTACCAACTGGTAACTCTGAAAGTTCCTCACATGATGACCAGCCAATCACAGAATCTGCATTCCAGGATCTATCTTTGGGTGACAAACAAGGAGACAGAGAACCTGACAAGGTGCTGCGCTATCATGAATATATCATTCTATCCAGTCATTCAAAATTGTTAATTGAGCTATGTAACTTTTTAGACACCTAGCCAGTAGTATCTAAACCACTTAGATGTCTCGTGCCATGTATTGCAATTCTTCTCAAGATGGATTATATTCAGTTTTCATGCTAGTAGATTCTGATGTGTGCGTTTTTTTATTTTAAAATATGGAACTTTTGTTATTGCACCCTATTGATGAGAAACCTGGTCATCTGCAGGCACGGAGTAGCTCAATGCGAGTTGCAGAGAAAAAACGCAGTACATCTGAAAAGAATTTTAGTCTGGATGTTCTTCGCAAATACTTTTCTGGGAGCCTCAGGAATGCTGCAATGAGCCTTGGTGGTGAGCCCTACTGTATTGTTATGAAGTCTCAGTTAAATATAATTATTTGCTGTGACATTCACAGTACTGAAGATAATGCCGTTACTGTAGCATAATTTCTTAGGTTAGGATATTATGAAATGAACTACTTCTTCTGACACTTGCCTATAAACACCATTGCAGTTTGTCCAACGACTTTGAAACGAATATGCAGACAACATGGAATTTCCCGATGGCCATCTCGAAAGATAAACAAGGTCAATCGTTCATTGAAGAAGATTGAGAAGGTCATTAAATCAGTTTATGGTGTGGATAGATCCTTGCAGTCCGATCCTGCTACTGGGTCTCTTGTTCCAGCAACCTCTCTTCCGGATAAGATGCCATTCTCTGCTTGTGATACATTGCCTACCTCATCTGTTGGGAAAACAGTTGAGGAAAAATCTAGCCCAAAATCAGAACAAGATTTCTCTTCACCTGATGGATGGCAAAGAGAAACTAGCCAATTTTATGTCTCCAGTATACCTAAAAGGGAAGGTGACGAAGTTCAAATGCTGGCAAACAACAACAAAGGCAGCAGAAACTATGCTTCTTGTATTGCAAATATCACACTGCATTCAAACTCTGAAGACACACAAGGTCCTTCATATCCCATTGGTGCTGTTAATTCTGTGCATACTCGAGAAACAGGCTACATCAATTCTCCAGCCTCCCTCCACCCAAGAATGGATAGCATTGAAGGCCAAACAATGGGATTGAACTCGCCATTTGTACAACAAGCAGATGTCACTATGGTCGATGGTCATGACACCAAGGAGCAGACCCACCCTTCCACCTCTGGCACGACTGATTCTTCGAGTGGCAGCGCCTCAAGCCAGCCTACTTTCAAGGGGAACCCAGGACACACCCTCAAAGATAGAAGCAGCCCCGCACTGACCGTGAAAGCTACCTACAACGGCGACACTGTGCGGTTCAAGTTTCTGCCAGCAATGGGCTGGTACCACTTACTGGAAGAGATAGCAAAGAGGTTTAAGCTGACGACAGGAGCATTCCAGCTCAAATACAAGGATGACGAGGACGAGTGGGTGATCCTGGCGAACGACGCCGACCTCCAGGAGTGCATGGACGTCCTGGACTCGATCAGCTCACGCAACATGAAGCTGCAGGTGCGCGACGTCCCCTGCCTCATCAGCAGCTCGGGCAGCAGCAGCTGCTTGCAGGTGGAAGGGCACACAGCTCATGACATGACGGAAGCCTAGGTTATCGCCCATAGCCTGTTGTAGACTGTAGTAGGTCTAGTATTCTGTTGTTGCCGTAGAGTATCCATGTTTATGTTCACGCGATGTCGCTGTATGGAATGTACATATGGCGAGTGTAAAAAAAAGGGGAAGTGTAATACTCGTCGCACGGTTGAAACAATGCCGAGAAGGTCTTGTCATAATCTGTTGCTGGTTTCAGAAGTCCTGGCAATGATCCGTTGCCATGAAGATGAAGGTTTAAGATGCGACACCAAGTTTCTGAACTTGCTGCTGTGTTCCAAACCTTCAGTCTGGTTCTTCCGGACCCCTTCGGTCTGTATGATTGATGGTTTGCTGGTATCCCCCGCAGTATTACAGAACCATGTGGAGGCGATGCAGTTCGCAGTCGATTTCGAGAAATCTTTTCTCCGATCTCCTACCAGTGACAACCTGACATCCTGACGTTTTGGCTTTGATTGCCCGGGGTGGAGGTTGCTTTCCAGAATTCCAGGCCAGCACAAGTCGTGGGGCAGCCTGGGCGTGCCGCTGAAGGCGTGGAGCAGCTCGTGAGTCTGGACGGGAGAGGTACTGTTTGTATTCAGAATTCCAGATTGATCAGTGATCAGAAGTCGTCCAACTGGGAAGAATAACAGCTCGCCCTCGCCGTCAGGGGAGAGCAAGCACGGCATCGAGTGGTATCAGGCTTATCTGCTACCAACGGCGCGACTTGCACAATGTTTCCGTGGTAGGGAGCGGCTGGGCTGTCAATTCACGTGAAACTGGGGAAGCTTTACTACTGTGTAAAGGCGGTTTAATCGTGGTGGAGAAGAATTCGACTGATCAAGGAGCTGGAGTGGCTTACATTACAGCGCAGTTTGGGTCACTTGTGCACGATATTTTGAGAGTGGCTGGACTTCCAAATCACACCGTGTACCACTCGTCTCGCTTCTTCTCAGAACGCTCTTTGCACAACTGGGGAATGAATGAATGAATGAGCGTCGTCTAGCCTAGCAAATCAAGCAAAGATGTGTCGTACGTATTTATTTACCAACAAAAAAAAAACTGGAAACAGGCTGTATTGGACCGGTTAGCCCAGGGAACGGTAGTGGATGCTGGGCCTATAGTTCGCAATTGGGCGGCCACCGGTAAGCCCAACTCGAGTCAGAAGAGTAACATGACGGCCCACTAAGCGCTTGGGCCGACGAAATCAGAAAACCATCCTTTAAAAAAACGAAGGCAGCTGAATCGCTGGACCAGGAGCCCAGGACACGTCATCACAGTCAAACTGCGGCAGTGTCTTCTTCGCTGTCCCCTTCCACGCACGCATGCAGCTTGGCAGACAGCCCTGACCCCTCTACCCGAGCGCTTCGCCTACCAGTACGGCCGCCGGTACCACGAGGCGGCGCGACATGGCGATTGGGCTACAGAGATAGCGAGCTCGATTGCTCGGACCTACTACGCGTTCGGGTTGCCCCCAGCTGCCTGCCTGCCCCATGTCCGTGTGCCGGTACCGCCAGTCTGAGACACAAGCAGAGGTCTGCGAGGACCAGCAGCCAGGAGGACCCATGATCCGGCAGCCCGGCTCGGTCCCATCCGGTCGGACAAAGCGTTCGCCTCGCTTTGCTCTGCATGGCAGGCCAATAGGCCATGGCGACGATCTTTTGACCAGACCGATGCCGACGCCATGCTAAAGTGGCGGTCTCTTCTCTGTGCACGATCTCACGGGTTTTGAGCACTGAGCAGAGAGGACGGCGAGCTGGGGCAGCCACTGGCAGTTTGGAATCGGGGACCTGGCGCACGTACCGGCGCTCTCCTGGTTTCCAGGACTAGGAGGAGGAGAGCAAAGCCGCATAGTGTGCATATGCTTAATGCTTGAAAACTGAATCAGAATTCATTTGCAGGGCCTGAACTGAACAGCTCGTCTTGCCGCCATTGCATTTTATCCCAGAACTCCAGATAATCAGCATTATCCGCCTTCTAGCTGCCTATAACCCAATTTTATTAGCGACTTTAGTCTCTGTACCCTGCTCTCGAGCACCGTTCACTTGCAGAAGCAATTGCATCTAGAGTCTAGACCATGGCAGTACCGGTACGAGGCGACTTCAAGTGCGTGGAATCAGATGAGCTCCAACCTCCAACGAGCCAAAGACCAGCCAAATCCAACTGCCGGGCTGTCTGTCCAGCCTGCAGAGAATATCACCGGATGATGGTTGGGCCCTCAGCGGTGGCCGGTGGTCCATTCTTTCCATCCGCACCAAGGAAGGAAAGGAAGGATAGATCGGCCGGCGCCCGGCGGCATCCATCGATTCCACGCTGTGTGCCGCCTGCTTTCGCGACATGCTTAGAGCCTGCATGGTTAGCGTGACAGTGCAGCGCGGCAGCAGGGTCGTCTAAAGCTAAAGCCCATACGCAGGCATGATGAGCCTTTCTTTACTCTTGCTAGCGGCTTAAAGCACTTGCGGCACGCATCAAGCGTCCGAGCGAGCCATCATGGCTCCTTTCCTCCTCTGCATGCCTTTCCCGGCCCCCGTTTTACACCATGGCTCTGGCTAATGGCTATCATCATGAGTGGTTCTGCCCACTGGCGATTATCAAATTTCAAGTATGTTCTGCACGCATGCATGCATGTAGCTTAACTGCCACTAAATTGTGTTTTGATTCTAATAGCCTCACCGGACCGACAAAAAAACACTCAAGCTGTGTACATACGCACCAGTGCCCAATGTGCATTGTAGCTGCAAACATTTCTCTTTTTTATAAATTTAAGATTAATGAGAACAAAATAGATAGATTGGAGTATAGTACTGTTAGGGAAAAAAAAAGGAAATGAAAGCGAATCGTTGAAGGTGGTTTCAATCTTTGTTACCTTTTGGCTGAAGATGAGAGCAAGAGCTGGACATGTCTATGGAGCCAAGCATGACTTGAGTTCAACAGCTTCTAAACTAATTTAATTAGGAACGGTTGGAACTTGGAAGCAGGTTAGTTCAGAGCTTTTAGAATAGTTATTCTCTTCCTCAGCATTTTGCTAGCCACGCATATGCATGTACGTATGAACCTACTGAAACAGAGGGGGCGTTTTCTGTTCCCTTCCTGTTCCCCTCTTACATCACCAACCATAGACATGCTATCTTACTAAAAATCAAAATCGCCAACCCTTTTTCTCTTGAAATAATCAGCTTGGTTATACTAGTAGTCAATAGAGTCTAAAGTCTAAACCCATCGAGTGCGTGCCTATTTTTTTCCCGTAGTGGAATATTGCAAAAACCACATATGCCATCTTGATTTAATTTGATATTACACCACATAAGTTTCTGTAGAATTTCCTTATGCTCTGTAGCAAATGGGCACAACCCCTAGCTGATTTCAATGCTTTCCAAACTAATTAGCATGAATATCTCATGATTATATGGCCCATAAGTATCGTCATGGAGGACAGGACTGGCCGTCTGGTCCTGGACATAAGGTGGGTTGGGTTGTCTGACTAGAAGCGACATCTTACCTGGGGTCCGCCTTTACTTACTTGACATGCAGGACATGGATATTTTTGTAACCAGGTCATTTAATTAGGAGTTTGTTGTCACAAAATAGGAAACTAATTTGTAATCCGATTAGCGAAGAGTTATTTGTTACCCTACCCCCATGCTATATGAAGTGGGGGAAGGGAGCCCCTAATCGGCATCTTAACAACCTTAGCATCTAGCTCCAGCAACCTAGCATTCTCAGAATATTGCGCACAAGCAATAAAACACAACCACCGACCCACCATATATAATGCACTGGACGTATGGCACGACATGCTTGAGCCAATATAAATCTATGTCATGTGTGCTGCCATCTTGATCAGCAACATATAAGGCGCTCTATAGGGCCTGTTCGCTTGGAGGAATTCTGGAGGAATTTGGATGGTTTGGAGGAATGCTGGAGGAATTTGTGAGAGAAAAACACTGTTCCGAATGAAAAAAGAAGCAGATCAAGCTGGGTTTAAGGACACGCGAACGGGGCATCACAGCAACAGTGGAAAAACGCCACCACCAACTCCTCTCGTGCTGAGAGGAAGTCAATCGATGCTTGAAGAGGCCACCTCACAAGATGGCTTCATCTCCGGCAACAGTCTAGAGGCCTCAGATGGCACCGTTATTAAGCAACTTCATCCTAATCTCAATGTCACAACATGCCCCTTTTATGTGAAAAAATATGTGTTTTATTTGTAGCTTGATACGTCTTTGAAGTTGGGGCTATCGTGCCTAATCGAGAGGCAATAAGCATAAATGTCTAGTCATCTCTCAATTTATTTTTTTGGCGCAAAACAGCTTGATTCATAGAAGCCCTAATTTTCACCGCAACAATAAGTATGTATGTTTCTACCTTTATTATATTTTGTACTATTTGAATTTCAACTCCAAACAAAAATAAATATAGCGTATGTGATTAGCTTCATTTTTTTTATATAATGGCATAGATGGTAATGATGAAATAGGTATAAAGGTATTGTGTAAATAACAGCGTTGGTAACTTATGAACATCCATAGGGACAATTTGATTTTATTTTCTCCGATTAATATGGTAGTTCCTAGGACTTAGAGAATTAACCTAGAGCCTTCTTTTGGTGACCGATCGAGTACTAAAATATTTAAAGAATTCTGGATAGGAATGACTAGAGCTACGTGACTATGTCAAACAAACACATAGTCATGCTTTATGTAAATTTTCAATGATTTTTTGGGTCCTTTTGGCAATTACACACAACCAGAATTTTCAACTTCTCCTGTTGATGTGGAGTTCCCCTAGTGTTTTAGTATTCAAAATTTAGTATAAACTTTTCCTACTAAATGCCTCCTAGTGAGGATTTACTAGTGCTATGACTAGTGGTAGTGTTTTATTACTAATTAAAAACACTAGGAGAACTCCACCATTTTGGTAGTGACAGGCCAGGATCGTCTAGTTACCGTTGGTTATTCAAACTCTAATTGTAAGGTAGTACCGCAACATAAGAATATGATGTCATTAAAATGGCTTAGATCCTATTTAGCTTCATTAATGCTAACAAATGCATTGCATGTCATGTCCTGATGCAAGACTATGTGCGTGGAAATCTAAGAGTATCAAACAAGGACTAGAAATTTATCCCTTGAAGATGCAGGGTACAGTACAGGCGTACAGCATCAAAGGTGTGTAGCCCGTGGTACTACGTACCTGATCGATCGACACGGCAAAATATAATATTGCTTGCGAGCCCTAACTACCTCCAATATCAGGCCCCGTTTAGTTGAAGCCAAAAACCAAAATTTTTTGCATAGTAACCATCACATCAAATCTTGCGGCACATGCATGGAGTACTAAATGTAGACGAAAAAAAAAACTAATTGTACAGTTAGCCGAGAAATCGTGAGACGAATCTTTTAAGCCTAATTAGTCCATAATTGGACAATTTTTGCCAAATAAAAACGAAAATGCTACAGTAGCCAAAAGCCAAAAAATTTTGCAACTAAACGGGGCCTCAGTATCAGACTATCAGTAGAGTGCAGTGGTAGGCCTGTACTTTTATGGTGGCTCATATCATGCACCAAGCAAAAAAGCGCTAGCTGCATAGCTTTATAGCCATTGGGATTTAAATTTAGGTTTATCTAGCTCCATTGGCTGAGACTCTTCAAAGGAATCATGGCTGAAGGGAGAGAAAAAAACATGTGCATCAGTACATGCTAACATGCATCAAAAAGGAGGAGGACAGCGAAAAGCACTAAGCAAGCTTGTTACGATGGATGGATATCATTTTTTTAGGAATTCTCATGAGCATCTTTTGATGTGATGCAGGAATTCTGCAATATTGATCAGTCTCTCCTGAAATCATGGACATTCAACAATATATTATAAGTATAGCCCTGTGGTACTAGTACATGTTGCTAAAAGGGGTGAATTCTAAAATTAAGGTAGCTCTCCGGTGTGGAAATAAGTCGATAATGAACAGAAAAGGTACACGACGGTGTTTCTTCATGTGCGTTAATTATGTTTTGGGATTAGCCAGTGGCGGAACCAGAACTTTTGATTAAGAGGGGCTGGACAGTATAACAACACCTCGTAAATATGACAAATCTATATATAGCATATGTCTCAATAGTTTTTCAATATTTTACATATTATTTAGTATTCATAGCGAAAAACATAATATTATAACAAAAATGGGTGAAACAATAATTTTTTTGCTATTCAATTGATTTTTTTACGGGGTAATAAAATTGTTTCACTGTGATAGGGGGGGCACGGCCCTGCTAGCCCCCCTGGTTCCGCCAGTGGGATTAGCAATACTTCAGAACGACATACTCGATTCCACGCTGCCACGCACATCCACCCTTCTAAAACAACACAATATCCTAAACACCTACGACTACAAGAAATTAGGTTTGCGAATATCGAGACTAAGTGATGAACAGTAGTATATTTAGAGCAACCCCAAGAGCCAAGAGTCTCTAAAATTTCAATCTCAATACTTGTATATAGACAGTCATTCAATGAATATTGTCTTTGTATATCTCGGGCCTTCAACGGACTCTCCAGTTTTTATTGTCTACACTCAAATAATTATCGTAATGTAAAAAATCATAAGAAAGGTACATTACATTTAGAGAGTTGTATAGCCTCACTCAAAACGGAGTGAGAAGAATGATTTTAGATAGCAGAAAAGATGGAAAGTGGTTTAGAGAGTTTTTTAAAAAATAATGAAACGAGATTACAGCCTCTACCATCTGGGGATGGTACACATTTGAGAGTCATAGTACAACCAACGCTATAAGCAAACACACTCAAGAAGAAACAAAAGCAAGAACAGGCCGCAAAGAGGGCGCAACAAGTAACGCAAAAAACTAACTAAGCATCAATTCGACTTGAGAAGTTCCAGCCAAACTTCGCAAAAAAAAAAGCCATGACAACAGTCTCCCATCTTCTGCATCCGTCCATGAACAGTGGTTGCTCGTCCTCCCTATGCAGCATGGACCATGAAAATTACCTGTATCGATGATCAGTTTTTTGTTTGTTTTTCTAAATTTCATGATAAAAAGCCATGTAGACAGAGTCTCTTGAGATGCGGATTGCCGCTTACTACTTCTCTTTGTTGTCTTTATCTTTTTCTTCCTTTACATTTATTCTCATTATCTTCTTTGTTCATGTATAAATATTATTTGCGGGGCTTTTTGCAAGCTCAATTGTCTGCCCT